TTTTCATAAGATGTTCTCAGATTTGTCCAAGCAAGAGATTGTCAAATTCTTGTGAATTCTGAATGATTGTACTTTGGCTCTATTGTTCCAAACCGGAGTCTTCCTTTCTGGGTATAATCAAGAGGAAAGTCAAGAAGGAAAATTCACCATGCATCATTCCTGACAAAGATGGTCTGTTATTATGCCCGTGTCTGTTTTTCTGCACTTGATGTAGATAAAATTTAAGACAGAAAGAATGTTCTAGGTATTTTCAGAGCATGGTAATATTTGTGGTACCTTTAGAAAACTGGTCTTATGGCTTTATAATATTTTTGTCTTCCATTCCTTTAAAGGAAAGAATACTATGGAAAATTAACATGAACAGAAATTCTCTGAACATATGAGTATAAACCTCAGCATATATTTCAACTTTTAAATGATACAGAGCCTGGCTCTTCAAAGTGTGCTACCTAGAGGCTTCCATGTCACCAGGGTTATTTGACAAATGAAGACTCTCAGGCCCTTGTCCTCAGTCTTCCAAAAGGAACATATATTTTAACAAGATCCCTAATGAAGTACGTGCTCAAGAAGACTTGAGAAGCACTAAGGTGATGGAATTTTTCTCAGTCCAGTCAACTCTACGGTAATCCTTGGGAAAAGATTGACTTACACTAATGGGAATTTTTGTTCCAAATATTCAGTCAGGAATGTAACAACAAATTTTAGACATGATCCACTTTGGAAAGAAACAAAATACTTGATACTTGTGTTGTCTATGCCTAGTGATGAAGCTGGAGAATAAGATGTAATTTAAATGATGCAGATTATAGAAATACACATGAAGTCCACGATTGAATTATATACTCTTCCACTGTTTCCAACATAATATATTTTCTTTAGCAAAACATGTACCACTATTACACTGAATTCTAGAAGCAGTGAAGATTACCTCAGTAAACAATTACTTAATGACTAAGTATAATTCATTTTAAAAGAATTATATCCAGTCAATAAAGACCATGTTATTGTGATGAATTCTACTTTGATGCGCTCTAGAAACCCTTCCCCAAGGTTTAACCAGTACTGCAAATTGTTGATTTCCTCCAAGGATCTTTGAGCAAATCAGCATCCAGGCTAAGCAGCAAGGCAGGATGAAGGACAGAATCATAGCTTCTACTTAGTGTGGTTCTGCAAAGACCAGAAATTGGGCTGTGACTCACAGCAGAAACCAGTGGGACAGAAGCAATATGGCCCCCGTCACAGGTGTTTAAGGGATCCTGAGGTTCTTTCAAGCAATTCCCCAGCATAAGGCTGCCCTCTGACATGCCACAGTCTATACGCAACTCTCAGGCTGGGATTTTCTGATTTTGCTTCTCCTTTAAGGCTTCCCTTGACTTCAGCATTAACTTGATTTGCCCTGTGAAGTAACATGAAAGCTAGAAAGGCACAGGGAGGAGAGATGGTTCCCTGCGTGCACTGTTCTCCCTGCCCACTCTCACAGGGATATCCCAGCAATGAGGCAGAGCCAGCTCTGCTTCCTCTCACAACAGTGGCTTTTTCTGATGCTTCTCATCAAAACTATGCTGCAGAACATGGCTCTCCCCCGCCCACCACCTGAGCTGGGTCCGTAGAATGTTTCTTTTCCTTGGTACCTTCTTCCCTGTAAACACTTTTGAAAACACCTGTCTCAGAACCATCCCAGTTTGGGAAAGAGAAAGGTGGGTGATGCTCCCATGAAAGAGTGCTTATTTTTTAGGAAAAAACTGAATTGTTTGAATTCTTTCTCTCTCAGCAGTAAACTGAGCCAAAGGATTGAATGTCATCGCTTCTGTATCTCTAGCCCAGCACAGCCCTAGCTTACAAGTGCTGTTCAGCAAGAGATAGAATTGCACTCATTTCCAAGCCCTCTTTGTGCTGAATTTGTTACATCTTGGGATGCACTTGGAAACCAGGGGACATGTTTGTGCTTATCCATGTACACACACTCCCCCCATCTAGTCTTTCTCCCAACTTAATTATTTTCTCTGCTCATCTGCTCAGAAAATTCAGGTGTAGGTGTATTTTGCAGTAAAATATCACATTTTAAAAAAGAGCTATGCTGAGTAGAATCTAGCCTTATGCATTGTTGGTGAACAAAAGCAAGTATCAAGACATTGCAGGTAACAGGCATCTGGGTATACAGTGGATCCAAGAAAGGAAAATTGAATATAGCAAGCAAGCAACATCCCCCAACATGAAAAAACTTTCTCTTTAACTTGTCAATCTTGCTCCTTGTTCTCTGGTCCTCCTGCTTTTCTTTCTTTTCTCCAGTTTTCCCATTTTTACGTATTTTTTGCTTGGTAGGCCTTTAAGCTACCGACTGGGCCCCCAAAGACACGATTCCCATTACCAAAGGCACTCAGATTTCTCTTGTCATCATCTTCCTCATCCTTCTGCCCCAGAGAAAGGGTGCCCAGGCTCCCAACAGCTGGATCTGATTCCCTACTTTTTATTTCTCCCATAAAGGGCCACATGGAAGGAGTCAGAAGAATGGAACTTTGTAGGCTCTCCCTCAGCTGGCCACGGTCAAATGCTAGGTCAAATGATAGAAAACTACTTGTAAATTCAGACAAGTTTGAAAAATTTAAATGCAACCTTTTAATCAAGATAATATAGTCAACTCCTCATCTATGAGTTATTAGAAAAAATTAAATGCCCTCAAATGTATGTTAAATAACTTGTTTTGAAAGCAACACTTAAAAAAAGCATTTCACAAATATGGCTGTTGTCTATGACAGTTTCTTTCCTACATGTCAATCAGAAAGCTTAGTTCATGACTTTGGATAAAACTTTCACCTGTGCTATTCATTCTTTGCTCAAGATTTTGCTTTGTTTTAAGATTTCTGATATGCAATAAATATTACAACTTATCTCTTTCTTGATAATTTTTCTTCCTCCTTTTTCTGTTCCAACGCAGGCATACTTCTATCTTCAACCAATTTGAATATGAGGTTTTGAAAAATTATATCTACTCCTCAGATACACTGTCTTCATCAAGTCAAAGTTCAGTTCAGTAAGAATTTCAAATGTATTGGAGAACCAATTCTGTTTTTCAAATTATATCAGGATATAACTAGCCTGACAAATTTAGTCTTGGAATATTCCCATTTTAAAAGAAATCTAAGTGTTAAAGAAGTGTTCTAAGAAATAATGTCTTTTAAAAGCAATGAAAGAAAATCTCAAACTTTGAAGCCAGATTTTGACCTTAAATTAAATTTTAATATTTATATCTGTGAACTATATCTTCCAATTATCTTCAAACTAGTTTAAAACCAAACTGGTTTTGTGCCTTCAAACTCTCTTGTTATTAGTCTTCAAAATTTTTGCCTCAATTCTAATGTTTAAGTGTCTTTTAATGTATCTTTTTCCTAATTTTGAATGAGCAATTAAATAGAAGCCTGACATTATTTTCGATTATATGTGTAATCCTCACCAATGTGGACTAATTAGGGCACTGATATTCTTTATACCAAATGCATCTGTGTGAATTGTCTTGTTGATTCATGAGAAGATCTAAATAGTAAAACAAAATGCTGTCAAATAGAAAAAGATCATCTTGGTCATAAGTGGGCTTGTGCTGGGGAAGATGCTATATTGACAAGTCACCTAAAGGATACAGGAATATGATTACCAAAAGCTTGTGATATTTCATCTAAAGCAGTGGCCATGATTATCATTACTGTTTATAAAATATTCTGAAAGCATATTGGTTAGCAACTTATTTTAAGACCCTTCCGCACTGTGTCTTGTGCAATATTTATTTTAGACACTTATCTTTACTACCTTAGTCTGCTTAACACTCATCTTCGAGTCTTTGGTATTCTCTTAAGTACACCTTTGGCACCTAGTTTTTCCAATCTGTTTCATCAGTTAATGACAATTCATTAAACAGTATGCCCCGTAGGACAAGACTCCAGACCCTGAAATCAGACAACTCATTCAAACCTCAGAGAACATTCGGAATCACATCAAGCAATTTCATGAATCGAACCGACCTGTTCAATAATTACCTTTCAAATTGTACAATGTAGAGACCGATCTGACTTCACTACCAAATGCATCCTGAAGCATCTTGTCAGATAGAGAATGATCAACTATCATACAGAAATCAGTGCAAAATTACATCTAGGCACCTTAAATGCACTCTCAGCTAAACAAAGAAATGACACCACATAGAATTTCAGGTGTCCTCACTAACTGCGGCAGATGAGATTTTTAAAAATTATCAGCGCATTAAAAATATTTTGCCTGCCTCCTCTGTTCCTGAGCTTCACAACCTACTAAAACATAGCATCATAAATAGAATTTAAACTCTTAAAGGCCAAGCACAAATTTTAAGCCCTATAATTTAGTGGTAAGCTCATCTGTAAGGTTATTTCATCAAATTCTATTTTTAGAAAAGAAAAACTCTATTAAGATAAAAAACAAATAAAAATAATAAAGTGGATCAGCTTGGAGGAATCCAGTTGTTACATTCAGCAGTTACGTCATAGTATATGTGTTCTCCTTCCTGAATGGCCAGGAAGAGCAAAATGGAATCCAACAATTATTTGGCACACTGCTTGACAATCCAAAGCACTTCAGAAAGAATCGACCCCTCCTCTCACCCTTCACATAAAATTAAATTCATTCCACTCTTAATCTTCAAGGACACCTTATCAACACCGTGTTGTTATGGGTTTTTTTTGTTGTTGTTACCTGTCACAAGTGGTAAAATTTGAAAACAGGGTTTTAAAAGTTACAAACCACATCTTTAATTTTTTTTTTTTTTTTTTTTTTGCTTCTAATGCATGAAGTCACTGCCTTACGATAAGTGGACATATTTGGAATTCAATTTGATGATAGTAAGGACTGCTGAGTAGTAACCATGGTTCTCTCCCATTAGTAGAACATGCATCTCATCTTTGATATCAAACGCACCCATCATCGGTGCCATATATGAACATCTTCACTATAAACAGTTCAGGCATTTAGAAACAAAGTAACAGTTACTTTAATTCATTTTATAAATAAGCAACTGAGAATTTTGCTCCAAGTGGCTGCTAGTGTAACCCATTCCATAAATGGCATTCTCCGAAGCATAAGGCACAATATGATACGAATGCAGCTCCTCATAATAGAGAGACTGAGAACAGCATTCTTGTACCATAAACTTCAGCCGTTTTCTTGTATCAGAATAAGCAGTCTTATAACAGGGAGCTTCTTTAAAGTACTCATAGTTCTCTTTCTCCGTCTCTAGATGTATCTTCCTCAGCAAATTGTTAATTAACACAGACCTTCTCAAGTAAGTCTCTGGGTCTTCTAGAAACCTGAGCTTCTCCAAAGAAAGTTTGAGGATGCAAGTCCTGTCTTCAGGTAATATCAGGTGCTGGGAAGCAAACACAATTATTCAATCCAGTTTAGAACAGTGAAAACCAGACCTTGATACTGTGAAAACATTGATAAAAACATGGCAATATGATACTATGCAAATCCTTACTTTTGGAAAATACCCATGGTAATCCTGATGTAAATCTTCTTCTTCTGCATATTTTCTCTTAAAGTAGGCTACTTTCGACGTTGTTAATGAATATGTTAATACTTTTGTCAGGTAAGCTAAATAAAGAAAATAATTGGAGAAAAATTAGACTTTATTGTGGCAAGGAATATTTTATTACATAAATTATACTCGTGATAAGAAATTGGCTGTTACAGAAATTGCTCTCATCTCATTCAACCATGTGGCAAAGTAGTTGGTGATGATTGTACTATGATTTAAAAGCCTATCGGAGGACAGCGCCACCATTCAGATACACAACAGAGGACCCTTGTTGTGTAAAATCTTACATGGACCCTCAGAAATAAAACACTGATACCATTTAATGTTGTGCTTTCTTATGTCAGAACACACCCAAGTTTGAAATGGATGCACAGAAGTGAATAGGAGGAGGCAGGTAAGAGTTCATCATTCTTAAGTTAAAGGGCCTAGAATACAGGTTTGCTGTGTTAATAAAATTGGCATAAAATTTCTAGTGGTAAAATCACACTTGAGATACCTATGTGTCTACCGACCAATGCTAGAATTGTTCATGGTGTAAAGGAGGTAAATATGTGAAAAAGATTGAGGTTATGAAAGCTCAAGTTTTCACTAGAAAACATGATTTTGGTATGATTTATGATAGTGAAGATCTTTGTTTGCTCTTTTTAAATACTTTTCTGTTGAGGGCTCTGACTAGTTTAAGGAAGAACAAATTTTCAGAATCGACTTCAAATAAAGATTTCCGGAAATGATTTCAAATAAAGAGAGTTCCTAAAGAGTGCTCCAGGTGGCGCTCACACCACAGAAAGTAGGCAAGATAGACTTTCTAAAAACCAGTAGTTTCCTATTCTGAGCAATGAATGAATTTTGAAAGCAAATTGAGTCCAGTTCAGTAGTCATTCAACCTCTGGGGGCCAGACCAGAAAGAAAAATTACATCTGAACATAATTTACTGTGCCCTTAATCGGTACCCTCAAATATTTCTGTGTCAGGACTATTTAATGCACAAGATAGTTTTATTAAAGAGCTGGTTAACTTTACAGTAAGACAGTTTTACCTTTCTTACAAAATCTCAAGCTTTTAAAGGCTTAAATATTACAAATATACTCTTCAAGAACCTACCTCTTCTAGTCTTTCCTCAGGCTTGGAAGTATTTGTATAAAATTTCCTGCAGTTATTTTTGAAGCTGGATGGTTTTCTTAAGCCAGTAGGAAATGGCACTAAATGACACCCCGTGGGCCGGCGAGATAGCTCAGCGGACTAAAGCGCCTGCTTAGGCAAGCTTAGGCAAGCTCGGGGACTGCGGTTCAACACTACATGTTGTACCAGTCCCACCCCAGGGCGGGCTGAGCCGGCCCGAGTCCGGACGTAGTGGCACTGGGGACGCTGAAAGCAGGAGGATCACCACAAGTCCGGGCTGTGTAGTGAGACCCTACAACCACTAAATACATTTAAATAAATAAATAAACAAATAGATCAATGAATAAATTTGACATCTATTTAAAATAAATAAATAAATGACACCCCAGGCATTCCAGATTCTCACTAGCAACACTTTGGATTATAAATTCCCCAACAACCTTATATCAGAGTTCATCTGTTTTGTTACGGGACTCAAATAAATCACTTGTATACCTGACTTAAAAGAGATGGATATGTAATGATAATTATGTGTACACAATCCCTAAATTTAATTTCTAAGGATTTTTTTTTTTTTCTCCGCATGCCCTCAGGGCAGGTTTGGCTGGCTGGAGTTGTGAGGATCGAACCACAGCAACCTGAGCCTGACAGCTTTTTACTGAATTTAATTAAAAAAAAAAAAAAAAAAAAACCTCAGCTTATTTGTATTTCTGACTTCAAAAAGTTAGAAAAAAAGCAAGCAAATTTGCATATAGGAAACAAACAAAGCATTAATAACCCCATATTACTCATGTGATACTTTTGTTTTGGTTCGGTTTGGTTTGGTTTGGGGGGATGAGCTTGGCTCGCTATATCTTATGAGGGGTATTTTAAGGTATTTAGTCAAATAATTGGGTGAGAGTGCTTCAGTTTATCCCTTGTGATAATCACTTATGCTTCTTTTATTTTTATTATTATTATTATTATTATTTTTTTTTTTGGCGGAACCGGGGATTGAACTCAGGCCCTTGCGCTTACCAGGGAAGCACTTATTCCACTGAGCCATCTCCCCGGCCCCACTTATGCTTCTTTTAAATCTATTTAATTAGTTGATATAATAGTGGTTCTCAAATGATAGGGATTGTCAGGTTCACCTGTAGGCTCCTTAAAGCAAATTCATAGCCCTAAGCCCTGAGTTTCTACAGGTCTGGAACATCAGTGTTTCCATCCCTAGCCTTACACTAAGAGGCATCACGGCTGCTGTTTACATTATACTAAGAAAGTTCTCTCTCTCTCTCTCTCTCTCTCTCTCTCTCTCTCTCTCTCTCTCTCTTTTTTAAGCACTATCCAAAGAAATACTACATTGAAGGGAAGAATGAGGAAGGGATTGGAAATGAGAATAAACTTATCATAGACAAATGCTGTTCATATATAGATATGAACAGTGCACATTTAATCTTGCTAAGCAAAGCAATGCCTATAGCATTTATGAACAATTAAAAAGTTTTCAATGAATAATAATGAAAAAGAGGGCAGGCTGTAGCTTAGAGAAGCAAATGTCAAACAGAATTATTATTCGGGCTTCCTAATGAACCTCCAAGGAAACTATTTTGAATTAAAAATGAAGACCACGGGCCAGCCAAATAGCTCAGTGGACTAAAGGACCTGGAAGCAGGCGCAGGGGTCAGGGGTTTGATCCCCCAGCCTGCCATCCGGCCCTGCCCCTGAGGTATGCCGAGACAGCAACTGAAACTGGGCGGGGTGGTGCAAACCTATAATCCCAGCTCTTCAGAGGCTGTAAAGAGGAGAATCACTACGAGTCCAATCTAGTAGTGAGACCCTGAACACCCTGTAGACCCTTCCCTAAAATAAAAAAATAAATAAATAAAAGAGGCAGAAAAAAAAAAAGACCAAAGATGGTTAAATGATTCCCAAGTTCATAAAGATTCTGTCTTGCTGTATTCAAGCAGTTAGTCTGAGGTATAGAATATATCCAACTCTGGAAATACAGTGAGCTCTTGGGAGGATCAGCACCAAGGCTTAACTCTTCCAAGGGCCATACCTAGCCATTCAGTTCATTGCTCTTAGAAAAAGCACATGTGTGGGCTTTTGAAAGGCTGAAAAGTTCGCACAGCTGGATTCAGTCTGACAGTTACCTCTTTGTGGCTGTTTCGCTAGACGAACTGTTTCCCACATCAAATTTTGGAAGATAGTTTTAGCCATTTTCACGCTAACCTATATAGAAAAACGTAAGTTCCTGCATCTGTTTACATGCTGGATTAGAACCCAAAAGCTTCAGAGCTAAACACTGTCTATTTATCACCTGGCCCAGCATCTTCAGTGTACAGATGAGGAAACCACAGCCTCCAAGAGCACAGTGGTCCGTAGTCTGGTGTACAGCTAAGAGTTTGGGCTTTGAAGCAGTAGAAACAGCTTTGAATTTCACCTCTGCCACTTCTTAGTTGTGGAGCCTTGAACCAGTCATATGAGCTCTACGTGAATCTCATTTGTAAAGTGGGAAGAGAAAGATACTGGCTCACGAGGCCACTAATGCCTGGCTCTGTGGCAGCACACACTAAACTCTCAATCCAACTGTAGCCTTTGTTAATGCCAGTAGGCACAGATCTGTCACACAGAAGCACATCCCCACCCAGCCTGTTCTTCTCCTCTGAAGGCTCTGTCTGTCCATGCCCCTGCCTTCCAAGAGATTAGATGATAATTTGTAAGAGGACCCTAAGAAGTTATTTCAAATGAGCAACTTGAGAAATATAGTATAGATTCTATAAGAGTTCCAAGAAAATGTTTCTGGTGTATGGCGAAAGAAATGCAAACTGTCTTTGGAAAATTCAGATAATCATCTGGATAGTTAATCCAAATATCCAGGTTGTATCATCATGTGATGATCCACAAAACACACATATGCTGATCATTCTCCTGCAACTAAAAAGCCAAGCTCAATCTTGCCTGTGATTCAAATAAAGCTGATAAACAAGAAAGAATAAAATGACTACATGTTTTTATATTCATGTTCTGACCTCTGAGAACAGTGTATAAATTGAATAAAATTGAATTAAATTGAGGCTGAATTTATGTCCAAAGGTGAAGTGACTAATACTGGCTTGAGCGTTACAGTTGTTTTTGACTCTGCAGTCACTGGATGAACAATACATCTGTACCAAGCTCAGTATATTTCACAGCGTAAAACCTCAACGAGCCACAGAATGAAAGCCACAAATCAGAACGGCCATCCCTCTCACTAGAGTCTGGCAGTACAATTTATACATATTTCTCTAAATAAATGTTTAAAATTTAATTAAAAATGATTGCTCAAATGCCTTTCCTTATTGTTCTGCTTCTGCCTCCAGACAACTAAAATCCTGTTATTGTACAGGTGATTTCATTTGGTGCTTGGCCCAGGGACAATCATTAAGGAAACAGCATCAACAAATTCATTTATGCACACTGAAAGAACAGACAGCAGGAAGAGCCCGAGCCCTGTCATGTAATCCACTCTTTGTCCCACACTAGAAAACCCACAGGATGCTGAAAAAGTGAGGTGTTTGAGGTAAGGATTTCATTTTCTCCCCCAACATATTAATCAGTATGTTGCCAAATCAGAGTTGAAACCATTCTTTGGGGTGCATGCACTCTGACCACAGACAGAAGGGAAGGAGGCTGAGCAACGGGGAGAGATAAGATGAATTCTGCTTCAGATCAATGTCCCAGCTTATGTGGTGGCCAAGTCATAGACTTTGGTTTCACAATCTCTCATTGATTTTCCTTTTGATAGTGGTAGCCTGGTACAAGCCTTACAAATTATACACACCCCTATATAAATAATGCTTTGAAGGTGGCAAAACTATTGGATGCCCTTCCTAAGGACCACATTTTTTAAAAATAAATATTGTGTCTACCTCTGTTAGCTCCATTCTACAGCTTTGCTGGATGGCTTAAAATATTTTAGCATAAACACTCAGAAAGAACAGACACCATCAAGGAGCAGCCCTCTCATAGCAATCTATTCTTTGCCCTAAACTAAAAAAACCCACTCTACAATTTACTTACTTGGTGTCTTTGAGCAAGTTATTTAACCCCAAAGATCTTTAGTTTTCTTATCTATAAGTGGGGGGAGGGTAACATCAAACTTATTCAGTTCTATGTGAATTAGATAAGGTGATATTTAAAAAGCACTGACCCACTGCCTACCACATAGGCTCATATTTTCTGCTCAATAAATGTTAGTATTTTTATTATTCTTACAGAGACCTCCATTCTGAAATCATAAATATAGAGCCTACTCAACAGCATTATGTTTCATTTAGACATTTGTCTTCTTTTTATTGTGAGGCACAGGTTACATAAAACATTCATGAGTATGTTCACAAAGGTAGCTGGGTACAGAATTCCAGGCTGCTGTGACACGGCTTCTGTAGGACTTCAGCTCTGTTGATATGTGACAACACTCCATCAGCTCTCTTTCTCCTCGAAGAACCCATTGCCTAAACCTTTCCATCTGATACGTTCTACAGTAGTTTAACTCAGTGCCAATTGTAAGCTCCAAATCAATGGAGCAATCTGTTTCTTCAGATTTATCATACACCCTGAGCACAATATTGAGTTTACTGACAGCTTAGGATTACCAACAAATTGAAATAAAGATCATAGAAGATTTTCTTAGGCACTTCCAGAGACTGCCTGTGAGCACCATTTTACAAGACACCAGCAGTCCTGTCTAGTACTAGACCCCATGGCACTTCTGAGGACCCTGAACACAGGCATGAAAAATTATATGAAACAGCAGCAGCTCCACAAGCTCATCTCCACTGGGAATGATCTCTGAACCCCAGAGGATGTCATTAATGACATATGACCAGCCAGGCAATCATAACATTACCTTAGATGTTACAGCACAGCCAACTTATTCAATGAAACAGTCCTACTAATGACAGAGACCAAGTGCATTAAGCTTTTTGGCTAGACTTGGTGATTTACCACCTACCACAAGTACAGGTTTTACAGGACAAGGCTTCTCTTCACTCAAAAGAAAACTTAGCCAACCAGCCATATTGCCCCTATGTCATCCAAGTAATAGCTCTCCAATAAAACTTGGAGAGATGCTACAACTTCCTTACGGACCCCCCAAGTGTTCCTCAGAGAGGAGAGTTTTAATCCCTGACTCATAGATGACAGTGGTCTTTCAGAAAGTGCCAGAGCTATGTCAACCACATCGCCTTTCATTTTTCATCATCAATAACCTATTTGGGGATATTAATAAAAATATCTATCTGGGCCAATGTTGCTTCTAGTATCCCATGAGGGTTGTAGAGAAACACAAAATGGAACAAAAGAACAACTTTGCACATTAACAATATGCCAGAATTCGCCCTGGAGTGGGTTCATATGTGAACACTCATTCATAGGATGCTGGACTGCTGTTCTCACAGGGAGTTCCTCTAGAGGTAGATTTATCTTCACTCCCAGGGTGCTTTTCTTCAGACAGTCTAGCTTCTCTATTTGAACTGCACTGTGCTCAATGATACAGCTGTGACACATATCATAGGTTCGCCACGACTACTAGGCTCTGGAGTCCTGACTCTCTGCAGTCTCTAGCTTTTCTTGATGTTCCCAACCCTGACCCCTTTGGACAAGCATTTCAAAACTAATATACTCTTGCAGGGCTCCCAACCTCACACCCACCCATTCTCTCTGTCTAGGCACCACTTCGAAGACCTAAGTCCTTCTGCTATTGAGAAGACTTGGTGCTCTTTGCTGTCTACAATGCACATTATATTAATACATATTTTGTTTGCTAAATGGAAGTCTATATTAAAATACTGAATCCAAGTAAACCTCTCCTGCTTTTCAACATTATCCTCTCTGCACCTAAACTGAGAATTAGTGCAGTACACTGGATGGTTCTTTATTGCCTCATGTGCATAATTTTAATTAGGAGAAAAGGGGGGAAAAGGCAATTATGTTGGGCTACAAAGGAAGCAACACTAACATTCTGACCCTAGACAGAGAGATCATTTCTTTTGAAAGAGGAATTGACAAGAATGACCAAAGGGCTGCTTCTGCCTTGGCTTTGGTGTTACGTGGTTTGGATCAGTTCACCTCTGCTTCTGCTTCTGCTTCTGAGAGTTATTTCTCTTCTTCTCTCCTGGGTTTCTGAGCATACTGCTTTGATAAACAGAGCACTCTGAACTGGTTACTCTTTGGCTTTAGAGTATAGCCGGGGTGTCAGTGTTTGGACTGCTAATGACAGCTGGCATGAGTCGTGGGTACAGAGTCCAGGTGCAGAAGGAAGGGCCTCAGCCCCTTGATAGAAACTGCAATGTGCTTCAAGGCAGCTTTTAATTCTTATGCAGGTTTCATGACATAAAATTGAATACTATTACTCACCTAAAAACTTCCAAATAGAGTGAGCCAAGAGGAAAGTATACTAAAATTAGAGGCTCATGTCAGCTTACACTTTGGTCCCAGACTTAGCTAAGCTTTTGATCTCCAAGCTCGTGCCCCCTTAACAACCTAGGATATGTGCAGTTATAACTGGCGTTAGCACTGACTGGATCCTTAAATACAAATAGGTGACATCTTTCACCCCCCAAAAAAAATATTACCATTATTCATCACTGGTGGATTCATTCTAACTGTAGATCCACTGAAAACTCTAGGATTAAATGTTTATTTTATAATGATACTAATTGATATATTCTTATTTATTGAAAAGTAAATATTACATTTTTGATGAATGTCTTTGAACTGATCTGTTCAAAATTACACAGTGTGTAGTCTACGCTCTACACATTCATGAGAGGAACCAGAATTAAAATTTAAGAAAGAGCCCTTTCATTTGACCTTTTTGATGGTAACAGTGGTCTCAATGAAAGAACAGCCAAGTTCACATAAATTAAAGGACACTGAATGATTTTAAGCTTCTTTGCATATTACATAAGAGATGCGATGCATATAAATTACTAATGCACAAGCCTAATGCATATACATGAACCAATAATTGTTGCTGCTTTGCTCAAACTTTCCTAAGATTGATGGCATGAATAGAACTGCATGCACACCTCATCACAGATGACAGCAGATCATATTGATCTCCTTGGATTTGTTTCTTAGCATAAAATATAGCAATTATGATGGAAGAAGAAAGAAAAGGGGGTGGTGCTGATGGCTCCCAAAGACAACATTTTTGGTGGTTCAAATTGCAATTTTAATGTTTAATATTACTAAACTATACACATTTTAATAAGTTACAACAGGAATCTGATCTCACACTCTCACGATATTTATAAATCGACCACGATACCAGCATACATCCTCACAGCAGTTTCTGAGTAAGGATGTTCGAGTCTGTATTTGTATAAAATGAAGTAAGGAACAGGCAGAAATGTAGCCTGGATTTTTTTTTTTTTTTTTTGGAATTTGCCTGTCATATGTTGGGCTCTGCCCTACAGGATGTGCACACAGACGGCTCGGTATGTGTGGGGTTCTCTGGTGCTGGAAGGCTGAAGGCTCATTTCAAACATGTGTTCAACCTTAGACCCCGAGTTCAAAGTGCTCACCCTCAAAGCTTTTTATCATCAAGGCCTTAATGCAAATTAAATTTAAAACATCCCCACAGCCTCTTTTGGCGATGTGCAGCGCTCTCATTTCCTTCATCCAGACCCTCCCCACCATGCTTAAGGGTTTCCACCTGACATATTCCCGGAGTCCGGCTATTTCTGATTTGGCCCACCCTATTTACCTGGGTTTAAGAGAGGAAACCTGCTAGCCCACAAATGTCCTTTTTACAGCAAACCTCTACCCAGCAACCATCTATAGAAACAACTCCTACTATCGATCTTGTAAGTTATGGTAATGCTACATTAGCATTTATTTCTCTGGATACATAAAGAGTAATTTCTTCTGAACTAGTGATTACCTGATAATGCTGACTCAATCTGAGAAATGTATTTCTGGGACTGCTTCAGAAAATCCGGTGAGAGTTCCCCAGTGCACAGCAAGCATTTCTCACAGCCTCGGGCTCATGAATGGTTACCTGAGATCTTGAAGCAAGGAGACAGACACAAATAACATAGGACCCATCCTGCTGCATTTGCAAGTCAGGCAAGAGCACGCGCTAGAAGACACTGCCTAAGATGCTTCAGGTAGGCTTGGTCTGGACAACACAAACCTTCAAACATATACAATGACTTAATGTTCTCCAGATTTAACTATAAACATAAAGAATCTTCACTAGCTTAAGAAATGTCCTGGATAACTGACCTCACCAGTTATTTATTGACTCAAGAGATTATTTTAGCGAAATTATCAATGGATGGACTTTTAAAATCAGAGTGGGATACCCTTTGTTTGCTTTGAAATGCCAGATTCTGTATAATTTCTCAAGTATTCTCTCTAAAGTCACAAAGCTGCTGTGAACTTAAAACACAGCTCAGTCTTTCTCTGCCTATATATATATATATATATATATATATATCATATACATATATGATACATATATATATAGTCTCACAAGATTTGAGATGGCCCATTGTTACTTCCTTGTTAAAGAGAGTTTTTATTTTTTCTGTAAAGGGCCATGTTCAACTGCACCTTTTCTCCATGGATGTATGCTTAGAGATCTCATCATCTTCTATATTTAGAGAGATGAGCCTTCCAAAGGAAGACAGGCAGCCAATAAGGAGGATCCCGTCAAAAGAGGTGAGTTACTATGGTTACTTTTCAGGCGGCTGAGTAGCAGTGAACGGCTGCTCCTGGCCAAATGGACCCTCTCCAGAGGAGGACCTACAAGAGCGCTGCTCTCCGTATGTTGATTGAATTAGTCGAGACTCTACTATCCTATTTTAGCCATAACCACAGGCTTCCTATAGGCGCTCGCTGCTTCCTGCCAGCCTGGCTCCACGCAGGCAGTGAAGCCAAAGGAAAAACAAGGAGGACAGAAAACTTCTGATCACTGACCCAATAGGGATGAGCTGGGGACTCCTTAAGAACCAATCCGGAGGTTTTAAACGAGCAAACTGTGTGACCTGGGACTAGCTGCTGGCCAGTTTACAGGGTCTGGACACGGGGTGGGGACACGGCCCTAGCCTCCCCTTCTGGCAAACGAGTCCTTGCTGAACCCCAGAGGAAGGTCCCTGGCCGGGGGTCCTGGCGTACCTGAGAGAGGTGGCCACTCGCTGGGGGATCGCGGAGGCGTCTGTTTGGAAACGGGTGCGGGATTCGCTGCACCTCCGGCTTCTGCGGCTCTGTCGCTCTTCAGAAGGCGCTGACAGCGACGGCGACCGCGGCAGCACTGCAGCTGGGGCAGCCCTGGCTCCGGCAGGTCCGTCCCTCCGCTCTCCCGAGCCGCTCACTCTGGGTTCGGAACGTGAGGCGGGCGCGCAGCTCTGCGCTCGCATTGGCCCAGAGGGAGCAGGTGTTACGCGGTTGCTAGGAGCGTTGCTAGGAGGCGATGACGCCCCTCCACAGCTCGGGAGCAACTTTCCTGTAGGTCGGTGCACTGCTGGCGGGGGCTGCTGGGAGCAAGGTTGGGAACGGGAACGAGCAGGGGCTGCGAATAAAGAGCCCAGAGCAGAGGGTCCCTGCTGCGCTCGCCCAATCGGGTCCAGGAGTTGGCTGGACAAGAGTGAGATGGGGGCCTCGCGACAGGCAGGGGAGTGCTATGAAGGGGTGTCCCCCATGGAAGCTGGTGTGGGGCCGATGGAGGACTGCCCCTTTCGGAGGCTGAGGATGCGGCAGGACTGTGTCAGAGCCCTTTAGACCTGGACACCCGCGAGGACGCTGCTCTTTGCCTTGGAGTAAGCTTGGGAAAGGCAGAGCAGGGAAGGGCACGTCTGGGACCGGGACAGCCAGCGGTGGGAGATCCTCCTTCCCGCGCCGCCTGCTTGTGCTTGAGCTATAGCGAGATGTTCAAGAGAGAAAACTAATCCATAAAGACCCGCTCTCGCGCTCCAGCTCCCTTCGTGGCTGCCTGTAGCTGCCTGCTGGCGGAGTGCCAGAGATCTCAGAAAAATAAAAATAAAAGATGTTCGTGTCCTCTAAATGCTTTCTTCACAGTTAGAAAGACTTCATTTTGATCCAAGAGCTAAATAAAACCTCAGGCTAATATGAAATCTGCCTTAAAATACAAATGCACAAAATCAAAAGTACTTTTCACAAAGGAAGCTGGAAAAAGCATGCGTGTGTGTGTGTGTGTGTGTGTGTGTGTGTGTGTGTGTGTGGTATTTACACTGGGGCGTCAATTTCCCCGAAGGTGTGTGATCTCACTGAAGGTTCCGTTTTACTTTGTACCGTGGCTGCTGCTGCTTGAACGGGGCTGTTTTTCTGCTGGACGGAGAGAAGCACAGCAGCAAAGTGAACAAATTTAGCAAGCAAGTGAACGATTTACAGGAAGCTAAAACACTAAGTGGAGAAATTTGGCTCAAAGCTCCCCTGAGAAGGAGAACGTCCCTGGAGAAGGAGGGACAGCGCTCCTCTTGTCCCCTACAGAGTCGAGTTAGGCTGGGAAAGAAGGAAGACAGCCCACTGGGCATCAGTTGAAAGGAGAAGTTGCTGTCCTTGGGACCCAGGTAGGGCTGCCACTCGGAATAATGTTGGCTCCCGAAGTGGGGACATCCTGTGAAGATAAAGAGCTACACAAAACTCCCTGCAAGTCTCCGAGGCCTCTGGTACGTCCTGAATGCCTACGACAAAACATGGTGTGACTAGTTTTCTAGTCCTGAGGGTTTAAGAGGTGATCTTTTGCAAATAAGAAGGGAACCAAGTGATGAAGGAAAGGGAAGAGCAAAAAAGAGAAGATGAAATAAAAAGAATTAAGATGTATTGGGGCTGGCAAGATAGCTCAGCAGTGTAAAGTGCCTGCTTAGGCAACCTTAGACAAGCTCAGAGACTGAGGTTCAATCCCCAGCACCACACCCTCACTCCACCAGCCCTGTCCCCAGGGAGTGCTAGCAAGCCACAAAAAAAAAAAAAAAAAAAAAAAATGTGTTGTGTACACATACCAACTCCCCACAATGAATGTAAGCATTATGTACTGCAAACATGTACAAATAATTTTTAAAGTTTTAACAAGCTAAAATGCAACTGTCTAAATAAATAAAAGGAGGCGGGGGAGATGGCTCAGTAGAATAAGCGCTTCCCTGACAAGCACAAGGGCCTGAGTTCAATCCCTAGTTCTGAAAAAAAAAAAAAAAAGAAAGAAAGAAAGAAAGAAAAGCAAGGCTCAACAGGTTGAAGATCTGATGATTATCATGTCCAAAAGAGGGCTTTGAGTCTGGTGCTCCCAAGCCTAGGTCATGGCCAGCTGGCAGTACGTCACTGTAACTTCTTTCTTACCTGCAGTGAGGGACAGAAAAGCAGCTGTCTCTAGCAGCACAGCTCCGTATGAGACAGCAGCTCTTATCCCTTGAGGGCCACCCTCACTGCCTCCTCTCAGTCTTCCTGAATGGAGAGGGCTCTCCGTTCCTCTCCAGGGCCTTTGTGCATGCTGCTTCTCCTTCCATGCGCCTCCAATCACCTGGCTCCCTCCTCCTCAGCTTTCTAGTGGCAGCTGAAATACCATCTTCTCCTAGTGGCTTTCCCTGAGAGCCTCCTACTGACTATATCAGTCCTCTAAGCATATTCCTAAGTCACAGGACAATGGATCTCAGTTCACAGGATCCTCCATCTCAGGATTTTAAGCTAGCGCTACCCAGTTAATTGAAGAGTAGCAGAGGATGCGGATCTGTCCAAGGTAACCAAGAGTGAGTGGCAGCAGGAAAGTGCAGCCTGCCTGGCTCCACATCCCCGTTTTCACCTTAGGTACATAGTTGACAGTGCTTGTGCACAACCAGAGTCATCACTAGTTGACATCTTTTTAGTTGTACAAGTAGAAAGAGGAAGAAAAGAAGCTCATTACACAGAAAAATGGTTTTCTACCACTAATGAGGCATTGTATTTATACAGCCTCTTTTTCTTTTGTGTTACTTTAGAAATGTCCAAAGCACCTGATGGAGATTGCTATCTTAGTTTTTGTTGTTAATCTTTCTTTCTTTCTTTGGTACAGGGTTTCTGCTATGCAGCACGGACTCATAGTAATCCTCCTGTCTCGACCTTGCCTGCACTGGAATTGCAGGTGTGTGCCACCAGGCCTGCTTTTGGTGGCCAACACAGTATGGGATACTGAGGATTGAGCCCAGGACCGTGTGCTTGCCAGGCAGGCACTTAGACCACTGAGCTATCTCACCAGCTCCAACTGTCTTAGTTTTAACAGCATTGGGAAGTACTCAAGGTATAGTCATTTCATTTTTTTTTTTTAATTTTTCATCTTCCTTTAAAAGGCGGCCTCCATAATCACATGTTCTATTTCTATAAAGCAAGAACAAACAAATCCATTCGGGGAGCTCCTAGCTCTCTGGCCAATATGAACAGAACTTTTAGTATTAGTCTTTATCTGAATAGAATGTGAAACCTTTTCTGCTGTCAGTCTAACTCACTGAATAACTGCTAAATCCTCTTTTCATCTGGGACTCCCTCTAAAATTTAGTAGGCATTAGAAGACATGAAGGAAAGGTAAAGTAAATCCCAAAATCTCAGAATGGATGTGTGACAAATCTTCAAGAAGAACAAGGATATGAGTTTAATCTTTGCTGTGTCATGGATAGCTGTAGATATATTTTACAAGTTTCTCCATTCCATTTAATGACTAGAACAAATTTTGTACCTTAAATATTAAAAGCACATGTATTACCTTAAAAATGTCCGAATTCTAATCCTCTCAGCACTGAATCTTGGCTCTCCCTGTAATGACCACAAATGTAATGCTCATTCCATCTCTCACTATCTACTGGAAGAATGAGCTATTTTATTATGTAGTAGATTGTGCATTAACATTCCTCAGAGCCCTGAAATGTCTCCCAAGTTTCCCCTTGAGCAATGTTTCTGAATATCCCCAAGGAACCCTCAGGGAAACTGTGAAGATATGATGAAGCTTACAAGACACATAAATGTGATTTTTATTCATCAATAAAATTCTATTCAAATGGGTATAAATTTAAAAAACTACTATGTAGGGAAAAAAAATAAAAAGAACAAAGGATCCAAAGTCACAGCTGAGTGTCTCCATTATTTTAGTATTTCAGACTGGTCTCGGTCGAAGCCGCTGGAGAGGACAGCAATATTTTGTCAATGACTGCTCTAAAATTAATAGACTGAATAATCTAGTCCCTCTAAATTAGTCTTCTTTTGCTCATTTTTATATTATTTGCTCTGGTTTTTTTACTGTATCATACACATATTTATTAATATATATACGTGAGTTGAAATTTTTCACCTTACTGGGTCTGCAAGCTCAGAACTCTTCATTCAATGGCTTTGGACATGTGAACTGAAATGGTCTTTATCTTCAGTAGTGCTCCTTTAGTGTTAGAATGTCTTCAAGGGCTGGCCAAATAGCTCAGGGGATTAAAGTACCTGCCAACAGGCACAGTGGCCGGGGGTTCGATCCCTGGGCCAGCCATGCTGCCCCCACCCCTGGGGTGTGCTGAGATGGTGATTGAGACTGGGCGTGGTGGCACATGCCTGTAATCCCAGCTCTTGGGAGGCTGTAAATAGGCAGAGCACTACAAGTCTGATCTAGTAGTGAGACCCTGAACACCCTGTAGACCCTTCCCTAAAATACAAAAAAAGAAAGAAGAGAGAGAGAGAGAGAGAGAGAGAGAGAGAGAGAGAGAGAGAGAGAAAGAAAGCAAGCCTTCAATCTAATATGACTATTGGTAAACAAGTAGACTGTTTAACCACAGCATTGGAAATCAGATAATTTTTAAAGAAGAATAAAGCTCCTTTAAAAGAATTGTACTAGATGCTGGCTACAGGATTTATACTAATACTATTTTATTTTCCTGGGCACAGGTGTCTTCTTAAAATTAGGTAAAGCCATGTGACTAGTGCCAGCCAATGGAGTTTAGGCAAAAGTCAGCCCATAATGTCAATTATTTCATTTTTATGCCATTTTTTTTCTCCCCCATGTGGATGACAAAATATTCCCTCAAAGTCCAGGACTCTGAGATGTCCAAGTCACAAAGAGAGCCTCCATTCTTAAAACACTGCTAGAAAGAAAAGTGCACTGGACAAAGGAATGGAAAACTCTGTCATGCAACTGCACTGACTTTCAGAGCTGTTGGTAAAAACAGATATCATTAAGTGCCTCCACTTGCACAGTATATAAAAAGGCTTTTTAAAAAATGAAGTATCCCTGAAATGCCAATAGAATGTTTTTCCCGTATTCCCTATTTCTTGGGGGATTTCAGCTATGTTTGCACTGTTATGGGGACACTGGATGAGACAGGCTGGTTCC